GGCTGCTGGCTCTTTTCTCCAATCTCCTGGATGTCTTGGGATATGATGCCTTTGTCCCATCAGAAACAATTTCACAGAAGTGGGGGAGTCCTCTACAACCTACAAATAAAGAGTGATCCCGGAAGAGCTGGGGCACATGCTGGTGACCTCAACAATTGCAAGACGGCCTTGTCCCTGATTCTCAGCCACTTCTGCCATTGATCTCAAGATACAGTAGTCTGAACCAGAGTGTGACCCACACCCCACCAACAAAATGAGAAGAAGGTGCAAAAGGCGCACCTCCAAGATTGGAACAGCAGCCCCTTGCACCAGGTGTAGAAAGTGTGCCTACAAAAACCACTCTACTGTGGTTAGAACATCTTGCTGCTTGAGGATGCACACAGAAGCACACACACTGAAATATAAATTTTGATCATTTTTGTGGTCATATCAGTGGTTATTTGGTCATTAAATGGCCTTTCTGGCCACTAACACACCATGACTGATTTTCATTTTGGCCATTCATCCAAAAATAAATAAAAAAATAAAATAAAGTAAAAATAAATCATTGTTACAAGTTACTGGTACTGACCTGCAATGGTGATTAAAAAAGATATTAGGTTTCATAATTCATATGCTGAAAAAATCAAACTTTATTGCTATTTTCTGTAGTAATACGTAGTAAAACGTAATAATAAAACGTATGTGACTGGTATTCAAAGGGTATAATTTCTGAATTTGAGTTATATTTTGGTTTTCATGGCTAGGACCGGTGCTAATTTAAAAAATCAAGTCAATGAAAGTAGAAAAATGTTTTAATATATATTAATTTTATAGCATTTTGTGAATGTAAACAGGAGTTTCTATGTTTTTCTGTCACTCAAAAAAAAACAAACAATGATGCCCAAAAATCATTGATACTGTTAATTATTGCTATTCATCTAACCGCCATCATGGTTAGAACATAAATCAATTTGCATGTATTATTTGAAAAAAAAATTGGGACTTTATTTTTTCCATTTAT